GGGATTCGAACCACCAACCTTCTGATCAGCAAGCCCTAGGCTCTGTGGTTTAGACCACAGCGCCACCCACGTCCCTATATATACCTTTTATTCAGATGAAGAGAAGGCAAGTGAGTAGAAATGATACTGCTGCATAATATATTAGCAGAATTATCTATGGGGTGTCTGTTTTGCAAATTTTCATGAGGCATCAGCAGCTGTTTGCAAACAAAGCATAAATCAAAAACTTAATGGGAGGGAAAGAAATTAGTCTGACTCCTTACGTTTATTTTATTCGATCTTTTAAATAAAAAAAGTAGCCTACTCAGCTCTAATCTGTAAAAAACAAACAACAACCACACAATAATATTCCAATCCGTGTAAACAAATTACAGCCTGAGTCAAAATAATAACACACCATTTTAAAACCCACCCTTCACTCAAGAACAGCCCATTTACTGTAGTGATAAAAAAAAAACCTGTTTCAGAGATGGGTAGACGTTCCGCAGGCATTAGTTATGCCACTTATTATGGCAGAGCTGGGAGGGGATGTGCCAGGCAGTTGCTAAGGGAACAGACTTTATGTAAGTGTTATCAGAACAAAAAACACTACACCGTGAGCACTATGGCTAGGGAGATGCCGTGAGAGTAAATGGATGACGGCGTGGGAGCATGCATAGGTCCTTGAAGATCGTGATTTGGGGGACCACAAAAGCGCTGTAGCCCAGTGTTAGAGCACTTGCATGCAAGGAGACCCCGGTTTGATGCCTGACATCTCCAGGTTGGGCTGGCTTTAAAAAAAGATCGAGCAAATTTGTGGAGGATAAAGCGGTTAGGATATTTCCGTTCCACCTTAAAAGGGAGCAGGCTTTGTGAGTCACAGAGTCTGCGTATTTCCTGTTCACAGGATGTTTCTGTTGTGTCTTTGCTTTCGTTCTCTCTGTGTCAGAGACACTGAAGCTGGCAGTCATGTTTTCTTTGTTCTGACCAACGCTGAATAAACTTGTAAATAATACTCTCCTGCGTGCATCTTTCGCTGTGCATTATCTGCTGATAGAGCGTGCATCGGCTCTAGAATGTGGCAGGCTATTTCTGGAGCTCGTGTCGCTAATTGCTGATACTGCGTGTCTACGGGAGATTGATGGACGTCCGGAGGCGGCTTGGGGGCCATGATGGACTTTGTCTTCCTGGCAGTATCCCAACAAAAGCTACCGGCCACAATGATGGCTATGCTCTCTCTCCCATGGTCAAAGGCAGTAATGAGCACTCACACGTTACATTGTGGGCGCCCTTTGCGGGATCGCGTGCAGTGCTACAGTTTCCAGGGAGCTTACTGGCAAACAGGGGTTGGCTTGCCTCTCAGTGTTAATTTTTGGAGGTTCACGCCCAGCCTCAGTAGCCAAGTTTCATTGCTGGGAGGTGGGGCCAGTCCCAATATTTATAGGGGGTGGAGCCAACAGTAGCCAGGCAGTTGGCTCAGAAGATTCACCCACCCTCTCCTCCCATAGTTTAATGTTTTCTTGTTTGCAAGTTAACTTTTTCTTACTGTTTAGCGGGCGCTGCTACAGTCTTTGACTGGTCACTGTTGACGGACCAGGAAGAAATTTTCCTGCATTGGCAGGTTTTGTCTTCCCCATAGCAATTCGTCACAACTTTGGTGGTTTATGGCCTTGGATGGAATCCTTTAGTCTTTTCTTCCCTATAATGGGGGGGGGTGAAGTGGTGACTCACCCTCCTGCGGCGGCGATTCCAGGGTCCCCTCTTAAAAGGGTTATATAATGGATGGCCATACACTGAAAGGTTGTCAGTGAACTATCATGTGTGTGGGGATATGCGCTGGGCTGCCTGCGTACACATACGTCTTGCATTGCATCCCCATATCCCACTTACCCTGATGTGCCCCAGTTCCCCTGGCTGTGGGGCTGGGAAGGATACAGGCTCAAGGCCTAAGCCAAGGTTTTCCTACATTCGGAAGTTTAATAAAGTTGTGGTCTAATTTTAATTCAATAATAATAATAATAATAATAATAATAATAATAATAATTTATTATTTGTACCCCGCCCATCTGGCTGGGTCTCCCCAGCCTCCAACAAAGATTAAAAATACATCAAAATATCACACATTAAAAACTTCCCTGAACTTCAGATGTTTTCTAAATGTCAGGTAGTTGTTTATCTCTTTGACATCTGATGGGAGGACGTTCCACAGGGCGGGTGCCACTACTGAGAAGGCCCTCTGCCTGGTTCCCTGTAGCTTTGCTTCTCGCAATGAGGGAACCACCAGAAGGCCCTCAGCGCTGGACCTCAGCATCCAGGCAGAATGATGGGGGTGGAGATACTCCTTCAGGTATACTGGGCCGAGGCCATTTAGGGCTTTAAAGGTCAACACCAACACTTTGAATTGTGCTCGGAAACGTACTGGGACCCAATGTAGGTCTTTCAAGACTGGTGTTATGTGGTCTCGGCAGCTGCCCCCAGTCACCAGTCTAGCTGCTGCATTCTGGATTAGTTGTGGTTTCCAGGTCACCTTCAAAGGTAGCCCCACGTAGAGCACCTAACACATTGTCAGAGTCTTTATTCTGTTCTTATGATCTCTGGGGATTGGGGCTGTCGCGGCCTGGTCACGCAATGCGGTGCCATTTGCTGGAAACTGCAGGAGGGGAAACATACCAGTGCCTCCTTATGCGTCTAAACGGGCTGTGGGCCTGATCCAGCAGTTTTATGTTCCCAGAGCTGTTGCCAAGCCAAGGTCAACAACACTGAGCTAGATGGACCAACGCTAAGCAGTGGAGAAATGTGTTTATCTGTGCTGGCTGATTGTTCCAGAACTTACAGGGAACCTCCAAGGATGTACAAAGGGTTCTTTGCTGTTGAATTCTTGGATTTGGAAAGTGCGGGAAATAGTTACAGAAGAGGTGGAGCCAGTGTGAGTAGGGTAAAAATGAAATAAGTGAGGGGGATGACTGGTGAGCTGTTTTGTGCTTGGTGGGTTAGTGGTTACACAAGGCTGCTTGAGAGACCTACTCTAGGCCCCGTTCCACTCCTGGTAGTTTCTTTCTCTTAAAGGATTGTAATGGGAAGGGAGCTGTAAGTACAATTGTTTCCACTCGCTTTAGTTCTGGAAGAAAGGTCATCAGTATCTTTAATACATTCCGGGTGGGAACTTTTCTTTTTTTCATGCACGTTGGTATGGCTTGTAAGCTGCCTCTCCCAGACATAATTTCTCATGTTGAAGCAATTTACACCGGATAGTCCAGTGCTTTTACATGATTGCTTAAATTCTTAAGTACTAAAAAAATACTAACTCGCAAGAACTGCATGGGTCCTCCCACGTGCTGGAAACTGCAACAATATTTATGGAAAGAGATGGGTGTGTATGTCTGTAAACTGACCAAGTTATCTAGAATCTCCATAGTGATGGTTTATGAAATGGTCTGTAATGCTTTGGAATGGTTGCATCCATGCACTGGGAACTGAATTAGCAGGCCTAAACAAGACTTCGCTTTGCCTGCATCACAGGCCCCAACAGGATCGTGTTGTTGTTGTTTAGTCATTTAGTCGTGTCCGACTCTTCGTGACCCCATGGACCAGAGTACGCCAGGCACTCCTGTCTTCCACTGCCTCCCACAGTTTGGTCAAACTCATGTTGGTAGCTTCGAGAACACTGTCCAACCATCTTGTCCTCTGTCATCCCCTTCTCCTTGTGCCCTCAATCTTTCACAACATCAGGGTCTTTTCCAGGGAGTCTTCTCTTCTCATGAGGTGGCCAAAATATTGGAGCCTCAGCTTCAGGATCTGTCCTTCCAGTGAGCACTCAGGGCTGATTTCCTTCAGAATGGATAGGTTTGATCTTCTTGCAGTCCATGGGACTCTCAAGAGTCTCCTCCAGCACCATAATTCAAAAGCATCCATTCTTCGGCAATCAGCCTTCTTTATGGTCCAGCTCTCACTTCCATACATCACTGCTGGGAAAACCATACCTTAAACTATACGGACCTTTGTTGGCAAGGTGATGTCTCTGCTTTTTAAGATGCTGTCTAGGTTTGTCATTGCTTTTCTCCCAAGAAGCAACAGGATCATAGGAAGCTGATATATACCTCAGACTGTTGATGCATCTAGCTTGGTAGTGTCTACACTGACTGGCAGCAGCTCTCCAGGGATCCATCTTCCCCAGCCCTCCCTGGAAATTTCAGGGATTGAACCTGGGTACTTTTGCAGCCACATCATGCCCTGTCCCGCTAAACTACAGGCTCTTCCCCCAGAAGCCTGTGCAACATGAGATCCAGACAGCAGCGTAGTGCTGATATAGTTCATGGGCAAATTGTAGGCTAAATATATGCCAATGTATCGATTATGACAATTTGCTTCTTTGTGGGAAAAAGACTTAAGGGGCATAGGAACTGGTCTCACACAGACACAGACCATTGGTTCATTTACCAGCTCAGAAGTTTGGTTGGCAGCAGTCTGTCTTGGGAGACAATGGAGTCTGCCTTCAGGGTGAGGTCCAACTGTTGGAAGGTTGCAGCACCTGCTGTGGCTGTGCAGACCAATACGGGTGAGACATGTTTTGTTGCAGCTGGGGTAGATGAAGGCGTCCGGTTGTGCTGCTGCAAATGCACCATGGCGTTCCTTCCCTCTGCGTTCCTCCCAGTGGCCATTCCTCCTCCAGTCACTGTTATGGATGCATAACTTGACCATCTGTCCCCAAGCACTGCAGTTATCTGCAAGGGATTCGCACATGGTGGGGTTGATGTTGCCAGCCTTCTTTCCATGTTTGCAGACGTCTTTGTAACACAGAGTTGGTCTGCCAACTGGCCTGGTGCTTGAAGCCAGCTCCCCACAGAGCACATCCTTGGGGATCCTGCTGTTTCCCATTCTGTGGACATGACCAGGCCAGTGTAGACGTTACTGAGACAGGAAATACCATAAGCTTAGTCTGGGATCTTTGGGATGTAATGTATGTGGTCTACCACTAAAAATAGGGTCCCCCTCCAAGAAGTGAGAACCCACCTACTTCCAGCCAGCTTCTATGGGTCTTGAACCAACAGCCTTGTTGATACTAGCACCATGCTCTGACCCACTAAGCTAGCAAGCCGACAAGATTTGGCGCTTTTCCCTGAAAGTTCTGTAGACAAGCCTAACTTACGAAGATAAAAATGCAATGGAAGAATTGTGAAATGCTGATCATCAGCTATAACTCTGTTTCATGGCATTGAACCCTGTCTCAGTCGGGGGCGTGGGTGGCGGAATATATTGTCCTTGTCCCCGGCAATTATCTTTGGTCTATTTGTGTTCCAGCCAAGAGATTACTTTTCCTATACACTGTAAATGACCTTGGTGTCAGAAATTAATTAGGTCTACTGTACAGACAGACAATCATCTTCAATCAACTACACAAGGAAAATAAATCTCCTTGCAGTAGATCTTTCACCATATATATATATATATATATATATATATATATGCACAGTCTAGGAAACTAAAAATGAAACACTTGCAAATGGAACACAGGCGTGCGGGCCTTTTTATTTTATTTTTAAAAGAAATTATTAGATTGCATCAGCCATTCCACTTTTACTGATGTTATGCAGTTGTTTTAAACAGGGTGGTTGTAAAAGCTTGCTTAAATTGCAAAATAGAGGCACCTGGTAGATTGAGGATGCCATTTTAAGCATGCTTTCTTAGGAATACACTCTACTGAGCTCAATAGGACTTATTTCTGAATACAGTGGTACCTCAGGTTACATACCCTTCAGGTTACAGACTCCGCTAACCCAGAAATAGTACCTCGGGTTAAGAACTTTGCTTCAGGATGAGAACAGAAATCGTGCTCCAGCGGCATGGCAGCAGCGGGAGGCCCCATTAGCTAAAGTGGTGCTTCAGGTTAAGAACAGTTGCAGGTTAAGAACGGAGCTCCAGAACGAATTAAGTACTTAACCTGAGGTACCACTGTAAATATGGATAGGATTACATTGCTGATAGGCCAAATTCACAGCGTACATTTCAGGGGTCCCATCTTGAATAAAATGTCACCCCGCACAATTGATCACAAGACACACACCACTTGAATGGCAATGCTCATCAACTTTGTGGGGAGCCCTCCCCCTTCAAATATTTTGCTAGGGAGGCCAAAGGAACCCCAGCCCCTAGGAGTTGGCTCCCATTTAAAGCATTATGTTACTACTTTAAACAGTCATGGCTTTCCCCAAATAATTGTGGGAGCTGCACTAAGGGTGCTGAAAACTGTTAGGAAACCACTATTCCCCTCCCAGAGCTACAATTCCCAGAGTGGTTTACAATTGATCCCTCTTCACAGAGACCTCTGGGAACTGTAGCTGTTTGATGGGGACTGGGCTCTCCTTGCAACTCTCAGCAACCTTAACAAACCACAGAATTCTTTGGGGGAAGTAACAACTGTTTAAAGTGGTGCCACAGTGCTTTAAACATGTGGTGTGAATGTGGCAATAGTTGGTCCAAATTCTGATGCAACATAGCTCATCTGCGGCCTGGTGGAAGTCTGCATGATGCTTGCCTCCATTTCATGCACTTCTCTAGGAGTAGGGAACCGTAATGTCAGGAATGAGCCAGCTCCAAGAGAAGGTTTGCAGCCAATTGCAGAAAGCAGCCAGGGACAGTGAGGGTTAGGTGTTAGTCAAGCAGGGGAGAGACAGCAGCTGCAGATTTCAGCTTTTCCTGACCTTGACGGGCAGGCTGATAAGGCAGTAGCTGAGAGCAGGCTAGAACACAGTCAAAGCTCACAGTAAGTTGTTGGAGCTGATCCACTAAGTCCGAAGAGTTGGTGAATGGGAAGGCTGCTAGATAGGAAGCAAAACAAGAGATGTAAGTGTTGTAAGTTCAATCTCTTCTGTTGCCACCGGAAGCAGTCTTCAGAAGGGTCATCTTGAGTAATGATGCTGGAGGCTTTGTTGGAGCTGTCTGGAGCTATCTGTTTTGCAATAAATCCTCTTTTTTAATTACCTACGCTTACTGTGTTATCAAGTGGGGAACCTGGACTCCTGACACGTAACTCAAGGGCCTCTCTACCTGATCTTTGCAAGTATCCCAGGCAACACTTCCTCCTCAACCGCGCCCCCTCTCCCCAAGCCATATCCCTCACCACCTCTACTTTGTATGTTCCTTGATGTCCCGTCCCCCCGGCTGGAACTCCGATGCTGCTGCTTCGCTGCCTGGACAGATGGAGAGGGGTGCTTTGATGCGTGTAGAAACTAGCCTACTGTACAAAAGGTAACATGTGCATTTGTGGCTCCTCCCACATTTGCCTCTGGCTCCACCCACTGCTGGTATGTTGCCCCTGGAAGGTTTCCCAAGGGGAATGTGGCTCCCAAGCTGAAAAAGCTTCCCCACTTCTTTTCTTCTTCCATATTTGTGAATAAATGGGCAGAGCAATTCTCAGGTGGGGCCTGGTGGAATGGAACGGCCCATCCACATCCCGATTTCTGCCAGCTCGCATCAGCCAGAGCACACAGAAAAGGATGTGTGGAATCTAAATCTATCTCCCTAACCCTTTTTCTTTAAACTGGAGTATTTGAGACAGCTGAGTATCGAGACCCTTGGGGGTCTGTAAGGCTTTGGAGCCAATGACTCTAAAGACACCATCTTGCCACAGAAACAGCTCGCCAAAATGGCACATGTACTAAGCTTTCTGCTTCCTAGAGCCTATAACAGATCAACTAGCAATAACTTTCCACCCACCTGGGTCCCTGGGAACAGTGTTTGCTCCCTGGTAAGACTGTGGCCTAAATAATTTGTGGGGGGTGCAGCACAGAATAATTCATTATTTAAAGTTTTGCCCGTGACAGTATCTAAGTACATTTTAAATCTTCTACTCATTAAAATATTTTCACCCTAGTAAGTCGCTGCACACAGCCTTTGCAGTTATGAACTGGACCCCTATTTCTGGCCATTAATCATTACATTTTAAAGTGTGCTTCTTAAAGAAAGATTCTACCTTGACAAGTTGAAAATGCCCTTTTGGCTACATGAAGAACAGCAATTTTCCACTTCTCGTTAACGCCTCGGACAATCTCTTTTTCTAAAAGAGAACAATGGGTCTGTAAAAAAATATCTTTCACCATATGGGACTTCTTGAAAATCTGTTAAACAGGCCAAATGATCCTTACCCTTCTAAGAAGGCAGTGGGGGGGCAGGAGGGGGGGTGTTGCTAAGCAGGACATAAAATCTCATCTATCCAGTAACATGCACTTGGGAAAAGATCACAGAACAGCGATTAATGACACCCCTTGAACAGAGTCTTATAGACAGGAAGGGTGCTGAAAGAACACTATTTGACTTAACTTCAAGCACAGAAGGAACTGAAAAGTCCCAAACATTGTAACCTTCCTTCATAGTGAAGTTGTTCCAGTACCACGGTCATTTTGCTTGCCTTTTTTCAGCTGTACAATGTCCTTTTTGAGATGTGGCAGGCAGAACTGCTATTTCTCTTTCCTGGAAGGATCTGTGCAAAAGAGTTGCTGCATGAAGAACTTTCTGGCTGCGTCAAAACCTGTGTGCACACTGTCCATGCCTCAACAACCCATTTGCAAAATCAGCCCCTATCTGGAACCACCCTGTGTTGCCCGTGGAGAGGTAAGAAGGCATCGCTTCGTTTTCCTCTCTGTATTCATCGCACACAGCACTGTTTCCTTTCCACTGCAGTTCACCTTCTGCCCAAAATTGCATTGTTTGAGAAATTTAAAGAATATTTCGCCAAATATTGTAATATAAGATGTTAGAAGTTACTTGAAAGTACCAACCAGGCCTAGGACTAGAATAAGAATGAATTGTAAAAGATCGTAGACTAGATTATTAAGAAAAGAGAAGAGGATAGTAAATTGAAGGAGTTAATTTTATAAGAAATATGATCTTGGAGAGCTGCTACAAAGCGATTCAATGAAATTCAGTTAGGGGGATTTGAGGAAGTCAGTTAACAATGAAAGTTAAATTGGGTTTTAGAAGTAATAAGTCTATTATTTTTGTTTGTTTTTTCTTTAGTATTGTAATGTATGTTTCTTTTCATGTGTTATATATGTTATGCTTGTGATAAATGTTGAAAATTAATCTTTAAAAAATGGAAAACAAAAACAAAATTGCATTGTTTACCTCACTGACCGCTGTGGCAAAATGACACGACTTTTGTAATTTACTTAATTACGTAAATTATATAAAATTACGTAAGTTACACCGTCATTATGCTATTCCACCCAGGAACAAATCTACCTGCCCTGGCACCTGGAGTGGCGCGTGGGTGGGGCTAGCCGGCCTGTGGGGGCAGGGCTAGCCAACCACATGGCGAGCGTCCCTAGCCACCTGCCACCCGTGCGGAGAGTGGGGGGCGCCACTAGCCGCCCGCGGCAGCAGCGTCCCTAGTGGTCCGCACCCCTCTGCCAGTGATTCCACCCCATTCAGTTTGATGCAAAGAGAACTCACTGAAAATGAGGAGAGAAATGTAACCAGTTGCACCTCGTTTGCAGATCGAAAGCAAATAATGATTGTATTTGCTGGATTGATTTCTGTTATGGGCATGGAATAAACAAGTGAAGGTCAGCAATTTTGGCTCCTGCTTGTGTTAGAATTCTGCAACATCCCTAATGGAGACCTACTGCACTGGATGGATTAAATTTCCTGCCCACATTTCCAACCCACCCCAAGCATCTCAGCAGCCCTCGGATTGACAACCAGAATCCACCTTTGAAAAACCGAGTAACTAAACTAAAATCTCTCCATCTTCCTTCCACTTTACAAACAAAGATGTCAGAGAAAAAGCAGGAAAGAGCTCTTTTCCATTTTACGCTGCTGCTTTTGCTGTGCCTCATTACACTGCCTGCCTGCCTTGGCTGCTTTCATTATCAAAAGCAGAACCTGACAATAGCGATGTTTCTTAACTGCTTAAAAACCGGGTGAACAAAGACCATCGTTAATATACAAAAAGAAGAAGCCATGAATTTTGGATGACGTGCCCCCAGTTCACTGGGAAGGCAGGTGGAGAGAATCCGGATAATTGAAAGGAGAAAAACATGTCACACTGTGGCGCGGAAGGAAATGCTCACTGAAGACAGAGGCGCTTGCAGGACAGAG